ATGTGCACATGCTTAAATTCAAGCTGAACATCGACACAAATTGATGTGTATCAAATTGCATTGATATATATCAATGACATACATGCATCAGGAAATTTACATTTTACTGCTCTTGTGAAGCAAATGATCCAAGTCCTTGCATACGTAGGAGAAACAATGACACATTCCAGTTTATTGATCCCCACACAAAAACCAGAGGCCGATGATCAGTGTTTAGGGCTAAGCTCATTTAAAAATATCAGATTTCTTCTGGTTGCCAGTCTGAGAAAGAGTGAGTGCTCTTTGCTCTATATTGTGTTCAAAAGTCCAAATCTAGGACCTTAAAACAATTGCTTAGTTTATCTCACATTCTGTTTTAAATTTCACATTTTACCAAAAAACTCCATTCTTTAATCCGAAGGATCCTCTAATTATATTAATGCTTACATTTTCAACAGTTCAATAAAAAAAAAAAAATACCGCAAATCTACCTTTTAGCTACAGCAAAGTAGGAAACGGGCACTTTAAAACATAAAAATATTAACCCTCTTCTTGTTTTTGTAATGTTATAATAACACTTTTCTCTAAGCAATAACTTTATAAAATATCTGGGTCAGCACTGGCGTGGATCTCTGCTTTGGAACACGTTTTCTGACATGCTAGGCTAACGTTAGCTTGCTTTGCTCAAGCTCAATATGACTCGTCGATAAAAGCAGCTCATAGCTTGTCTTCCATGCACTTTTGATTTACCAGGTGAGCCCAAAACGTACAGAAAAGTGATCCCTCACATTTCACAAGCTAAGTGATTTCCGCAAGAATTGTAATTATTGATGACTAATGGGTTATAGCTGCAAGCTGTGCTGTGTGCATGTGTCTGTTGGTTTAGAGTGACGCTCTAAAAGAAGATGTGAACTGACTTTTGATTGACTCTGTCGAGTCCAAATCTGGAACCAAGTTTGTGCCTTAAAAATCATTTCTGGAGTCACAAATCTAGTCAGTTACTATAAATCTTTTTCTGGAGCTCAGAATAGAAACAGCTGCTCTGTCAATTGATCTCGATCTCCCACAAGGAAAATCATTTCCAAAAAATGTTTCCATCTGCTTTGTGGACTACAACAACTACAATAATAACTACAAAAACACCTTAAACGAGGACAAAGCCTTCCTATGAGGAACTTTTTAAAACTTTTTCCACCAGACTTTTCCAATTCGACACCCCTCTGCAGCATCTGCTTTTTCCTCACAAGAGATCAAATGAAACCTCTATTTTAACTTCTCTTCCAAAATCTCTCAAAAGCTGCTTGTGCATCTTTTACACAAAGGCTTTAATCTTCACCCAACATCAGACCTTCTAACCTTTCCCTCACAGTGAAGAATGTGCAGCCGTAATTCTGGGCGTGTCTTGAGAATGAGAAATGGTTCGTGAACTGCTGGTTTGTGTGTTCTGTCTATCAGAGCAATTAGTACATTCAGGGAAAACATCGTGCCGATTTGGGTTATTCTGCCCTGGGAGCGTACATATATGAAATTCTCACCAAACAATAACTTTGAGTGAAGATGTCCCAATCAAAAAGATTTACAAAAAATAAAAAATTTCAGCTGAATTGTTTAAAAACAGGTTGCCAACAGTCTTTCAAAAATGTCTTTGCCCACTAAAACAGCAGATTAAAGAGTGCGACAGAAAATGCTGTGTAATCAAACCAGCACAACATCATTACTATCAGATTATTTCCAGTTACAGTTCAAAATCTAAGTAATTTAACTCAAAGCAGATTGGAATAAGAATGAATTTTAAAGAAAATGATACAAACACCAGGATGTATCGGAAAACTAATGCAACAGTCAATAACCTTTTAACAGCAATCACATTTTTGTGTCATCATTCCCAGCAGTATGGAAAATGAGGACTCAAACTATTATTTAGGTTATTTTTTTTGCCAGCACAGACTTCAACTTGCCTCTAGAACCAGAGGAAAAGACGGGAGAGTTCTCTTTGAGATTAAAACCCAGTGTTGTACATTCACCGCATCACATTTTACAGCTTTTTAGATTTAAAAAAAAAAATCGCAACACATTTTGTAGAGGAACAGCAGCCACTTGCAATCCATTCTTTTAGCCTTGCAATCGATTAACAATAAACACCCCTGGCAGTTATCAATGTTCTTATTCTCTCAAAACATAAACAACGTGAAATCTTGTCAGATTTACATTTACAAGACTTTGATGAGGACATTAATCTGATCTGCCTCTTGCTTCTGCAGTGGAAACAGCAGAAGCTCCTGGAAAAGTTTCCTGCAACAGAAAAGTTCCTGCAAGGCATATTTCTAGTACAAGAACCACTTCCAAGAACAATGATAGTTTATCTGTGATGTTTAGATTGAAGTAAAAATTGTATTCATTTATTGATTTTTAACTGTAACATTTTAACTGTGGATCATTAACATATTTTTAAGAAAAGATGTGATGCTGTTGCTCTGTCCGTGCAAAACATTTTTATTTTTTTTTTCTCTTCTGTGATTGTTACAAACTTCCTCTGACACTGAAAGTTTTATATCCTTGTTTCTGAGAACCTTACAGTTATGTGGAGAGTTTTAACCCTGAAGAAGTTGCTGCTCATTCTCTCACCTCAGAACACAGAAGTCTGTGAAAATCCATCAATATGTTGCTCAGTTTGTCTTTCTTGTAAGCTCAGGACAGTTGAAGCTTCTACCCAAGGAGCCACAAGCTTCATTTACAACCACATCATCATCATCATCATGTCCAGCGGCTGACATTTACAGTAGGTCTGTTTGTTTTTTTTAAACCAATCGAAACCCTTCTGCTCTGGGTCAACGTCAGGGCAGCACCTTAACCTACCAGCCCTCGGAGACTAAAAAAAAAAAAGACAGAAAAAAACTGAGCTTACTTGTGTCTCTGAGTACAAACAAATCATTACAGAGACAGGGCTTCCAGCCAGTACTTGCTACTCTCCAGGGCTGATCAGGATCCTGACAACCATCCAGCACTGCTGTCTGCAACAGTTAGGCAGCAAAGGGAAAAAAGGAACTGAGGCATTTCGATCAATATAGGCTCATTATCTGCTGCCTTCTGTCCCAGAGAGATGAGTCCCAGCGCTCGGCCGGCCTGTTGATGAGCAGAGCGCACCACAATTCAATTAGGGTATGGCCAAGATGCCAAAAGAGGTTTGATCAAAGCACTCTGTTGAGCTAATTAGCTCACGCTGTGGTTTACGAGGGCTATTTTTACATCTGAGGAGAAGACTGCTCTGTTTTGTTAATGGCAGTTTTTCTTTTTTTTTTTTTATGGTGAATTGGGCAGGAAATAACTTGGCTCATTGTGGATTCATAGGTATAAGCCAGGAGAGAGCAGGGTGTCCCTGGTGCTGCTCAAGAGCACATGCCCACATGTATATTCATGCAGACAAAACACATACACAACCAGAGGGTCCTTCAAAAGGGTCACAAAAGGGTTTATTACCACCCCCTTTTTCACAGATTACACTTGTCAGCACAGAGGCGTGAGTGTGTTTGTGGTGTTGTGTGGCTCCGCGACAGGAAACGTGAGGTTATCAAGAAACAGTGGCCAGGAGGAAACGAAGCCGTCCGCAGAAATCTTCACGGGCTTTTTAAGGGACCAGCTGACATCTATATAAATCACGTTAAAAATGGTTGACCTCCTTTTTTTTTTGATGAGATGAAACGACCTGAGGCTTGCAAAGGAAAAACAGGTGTGTTGCTCGAGGTATATTACTTAAGAGATTCAGACGCAATTTTAAGACTTGATAATTTTATATCTGATTCTGTCATATGTCACTATAATCACACATAAGTATTCTATCCCCCTCTATTTGACTTATTTTAACAATGAAGGTATGGTATGGTCATATGAGCTCCGTTATGCTGAGGAGATTTTAGCAACTGACCGGATTTTTAAAATATCCTTTAATATGATATAGCTGTGTTATTTGACTTTGTGGGTGAAACATGGCTATTTTTAAAACAAAGAGAGGAAAAAAAGGCTTCAATTAAACTCATGCAAATATGTGTCTCCGATATAAAAGTTATCAAGCAAAATATTGTAGCAAATGAAAAATAAGCCCCTTTGTCAAAAAACAATAACTTAAACAGTTCCACTTTCTTAAGATACAGCATAATTTGGGCAGAAATAATGCATTAGCTTCTCAGCATCAGAGTTCTTAATAAATAAATAACTTGAGGCATAGCAGCATCCAGAAACTTAAAAGCTAGAAGTGATGGTGTGGCTGATAGTTAAATAAGATAGCAGATGAAAAGAATAGCTCCATTGTATTAGTGCACGGCCCTTCGTTTCCACTAGGTTTCTGTTTTGAATTGCTTCATGCATGACATGATACATCAAAACCTCCCTGTTTGACTCTTTGAAAGGGACGTTTTATTGCTTTCTCAGATGTTGAGAGTGGCGTTTTACTCGATGGCATGACCGAGCTCACTTTTAATGCCACTATAAATTACCCTGTCACGCTCCGTCAAGTAAACTCTGCTCCATCAGGGATGGAGAGAAAGACGAGTCTGAGGAGCATCATTTGAGACTTTCTCTCCACTTTTAATGTTACTTTCGATGACTTTATGAAGTCGAAGGGCTGAGTGATGCTTCATTGGTTCCGCATGCTTCAGTTATGTGATGTTCCCTGGTGAGCACAACTCCCAAACATTGAGATCTTCACATAAATGCAGTTTTCACCTTTATTTACATGGAAAAGTGGCAGCATCAGGGGGTCATGCTGGGTGAGTAGCAAACCTTCCCCGTGGTGCTCTCTCAACAAAGAGTGGCATCTTAATCACATTATCCATCGTGGAGTTCATGAATGTTCTTCAGACCAGCATGTTTTCTTTCCATTGAGAGGACTTCAAACAAACAAACCTGCACTTAAAAAAACTAAACTAAAAAACTAAACCACAAAACCGAGAAATTTCACTCTGTTCTCACATTTAAGCTGTTTTCCCCTTTTCGAAAGTAGCAAAAAAGCAAGTGCACAAACTTACCAGCTGTAAAGTGCAAATAAAAATGAGAGTGCATCGTCCGCTGCAGCAGCCCATTGTGTCAGCGGAGGGAAACGCGGTGACTCTGTGAAGGACTCGGGATCGAGCTCTCGGCGTGCCGTCCAGACTCAGTCTTGATCCGAACGCCGGCTTTGTCCCATCCTCCTCCGGCGTCTCTTTTTAACTGAGCCCCGGGAACAGCGACCAGGGTCGGCTGCCTCCGGTCTGGGGTCGCTCCGGACGTGTCTGTTTACCTCCGCTCTGGCCGACCGGTCTCGCACTGTGGGTGACTGGCTGGGAGACTGGGAGCCAGCCGGTGTGTGTAAAGAAATAATAAAAAAAAAAAAAAAAAAAAAAAGAGAGAGAGGAGGAGGAGGAGAATAGAGGAGGTGGGAGGTGGTCGCAGTGGCGCTGGTGGGGCAGACAGACTGACTGACAGACTGACTGACTGACTGAGGGCGTCATTGGACAGAGATTTATGGTAGCATCATTAAATTATAATAATATTAATAGTTATCATTACTATATCGGTATTTTTTTAAATATATATAATAGCAAGAATAGTATTATCAATAATCATATTTTCACTCATTTTTATTTAAAACAAAATGAACAGACTGTTGAATAGATATGTTCGTGTCTGTGTGTAACAGGGCTGGTGTTGTTAATTAAGCGTACAAGCAATTTAATAATGACTTTAGTTCCTCGGGGTGAGGACGTTACCTAACCCCTTCTAAAAATGTGAAGAAGTGGCGCCACCTGGTGTCGAATAAGAGAGAAACAAGAAGCACACGAGAGATTATGTTCAGTCCAGCATTTTGGACTCTTTCGGATTTGGGGGCACCGAGTTCAAACTGGACAGTTTGATAAGAAACCCGTTTGGAGTTTGAATGGTACATGGAGACACATAGTTTTTCTGTAGTTATTAGCTTTATCGAGGAGATCTGAAATACACATTGTACGTTTCTTCTGCCATAATAGAAATATTTAAGGTCACTGATCATGACACATTTAAATCTATAGTTATCTATAGTGCAAATCGATTTGTTTGAATATGTAGTTCCTTGGATCAGCTCTTTCTGTAGACATTGTTTGGTCCCTATTGTTTTTTTGTTTCTTTTTTTTTCAAATTTTGTAACTTTATATGATGGAAAAAAAAAATACTGGGATAAGAATATTAATTTGACGTTTGAATGTAACTTAAAATAAAATGCCCCTAAATACCTCTCCATGTTACGATCGTGCTCTTCGCAGAGAGGATGGTTCCCTCCACTTTGCTCCACAGATTCATGAATGTTTCAGGCTTTTGAGGGCTGACCGGGGAAAGACTTTGCCTGGAATTTCATCACACATTCCTCCGCTCTGTTCCTTTTAGAGCTCCGCTCCTCTTCTTTTGGTATCCTACAGCTACACTGCCCTGCCCACCTGCATTCAGGCTGGCCCAGAAGGAATTTCCCCCTCTCAACATTGCCAAAAATAAACACCTGGATAGTCCCTATGGAAGTCTACAGAAGGGAGTCACTTAATGTTTTAGGAACTTTAAGTCTTTGCACCTGTGTCTGTGTGATTTTTTAAATTTATTTTGTTGAATAATTACTGTTTAGTAGGTACGCTTAATTGTATATAAGGATCCACATGCAAATGTTCACCTTTGTCTAAAATTCCTTTTTAAATACTAACTTATGATATATTTAAACATTTTGACATCGCATAGCTTTTTGTTTTTATCTCATTGGTCTGACTTTCTTGTACATTTACTTTCTTGTAAACGTAGCCAGCAGATGTGCTTTGCTGGCTACAGTTATTACCATTGTTGTATTTAAAGAGTTCAAATAAATTCAGCTTTTATTGCAGGAGCATAAATTGAAAAACAGAAAAGTTCTGGAAAAATCTGAGGTCCCAAATCTGCTACTGCTGCTGAAGTAAAAAATACGAATTGATTACTAATGAAACAAAGATCACGCATGTAAAACTCATCTCTTTAGCTGTTGTTGCTTTGCAACATTTTATGATTTCTTTGTTGATTTGCCAATATGCTATGGATCTTTATCCTGGATCATCTGAGACATTTATGTTTTCTAGTTAGGTCCTCAGTTTATTTTTAGATATTTGACTAGTTACACATTTAGACAGTGTGTTAAACTTTGTCTTCTAAAAATATTTGTAAGATCTGGCCTCTCCAACAACAAGCACTGAAGCTTTACTTTTACCTTGGTTGACATCTACTGAAGTCTTGATAGTTCGATTTTCCAAAGTTTTTTATTATTAGTTTAATTAATGAATTAATTTATTTATTTACAAAGTTTTATGCTTATCTACCAGAACTGCTAATAAATGTTAGTGGAACTGTGATGATTCCAGTAACTCAGAAACTGGATGTCTTTTGACATTTCATTTACAGTCTTTATTGCATCAGATGGATTTAAAAATATAAACACTCTTTAAATAAGGGTTGTCAATTTATATGAATCATTATTCAAATAATGAAACTTCTTAGGTCTTCAAAAGACGTTAAGAGGTTTAATACACGTTACTTTCAATAAGTCAGAGCAGGAAGTAGGCCTATGACCAGAACACAACCGTTCCTTGCACAACATTCACAGCTGCATTTCTTATGAGAACATCTAAGTGTGTACCAGAAGATTATGAATGTGTATGCGGGTGTGTGTGTGCGTGTGTGTTCTTTGATAGCTGAAATAAGGTCAATGTTATAGTTCTGACTATTTGAAAGGCTGATGGAGGCTCTACTGTGTGTTCCCATTTTGCCCGACACCTCCTTTTCTCCTTACTCTTTGTTCGTGTGTGTGTGCATGTGTGAGTGTGTGTTCCTCGACCACTTCTTTCATGACAAGTGCGGCCCTCCGGGGCTGCTGTTCTCCACGAAGACGATAATATGAAGTGACAGGACAGCCAGTGGCGTTCTGCTTGGAGGGGACTTGCTTTGTGGAGGAGACCTGAGAGTCTGTCTCATAGTGGACAACAATAGAAAAAAAAAGACCTTCGAAGGACAGAGTTTTTTTTTTTCTGCTTTCTGAAAGCATCTTAGTGCTGTCATTTTTGTTTCCACTCTGATTGTCTGTCTCTCTTTTTTTCACACAGTTTGGAGATTATGCAGACCTTCATGATTCCTCATGCAGACACACTCAAGACAAGAATGTTTGCTGGTGATTAAACATCCAGTTCATCCTTTCTAAGGCAGATATATGAGTGCAGAGTTGATTATATCCACTTTCACATGCAGGAGTTTGAGCAAATCAATTTCCAAAATGACTATAGTGACCCAGAATTCATCTTAGACTGAAATGATTGTATAATTCATGCTGAAATACTGTGAGTCTCAAAAGGGCCTGCTTTGGGTGACAGAAACAGGTCAATTTTCGTTGGCTGAAGTCTGCGTCATTACTAAATTGGAACTAAAACAAGCTGCTCTGTTCGGCGCTTCAAACATCAGCATCAACACAAACTTGCTGACTTGCCGCAAAATTGTTGCCTTTGCTGGTTGTCGAACAAGCACATGAAGGCTTTCTTTATTTAGGCCCATCTAATGAAACTTTAATACCATACATGTGGCACTGGATGTAACAAAGAGACGGATTCTGTTCAGATTTTTTTCCTTTTTGTTCCACCAACATCCCAGACTTAATGAAGAATAAATACAAAGGACGATATGAGGAGGATGTCAATAATTCATGACTGGATTATGCTTTGCTGAGGAAATATTGGTGGAATCCTTTTAACATCTGGTGCTGTTCTGATGTTTGCCGCTTGGGGGCCTTCTCCCTGGGGCCGTTTTAAATTGAACGGCGGTGCGTCAAAGGAAACACAAGCTAAAGAAAACAGGACATTGGAAGGTTTTCCTTCAAAATAAAAGAAACATGAGCTGTGGTGGCCTTAAGATGGATTTATAACACAACACAAGATGAAATATTGGTGCAAATATTTAAAGTACTCCTATTAGATGGCGATTTATTAAATTTACATATACAGGCAAGGAAAAATTTGTACTATGAAAGCTCCTTAAAATATTGTTTTATTTCTCCTTTAACTGGGAGCTGCCTTCCTGTGCCATTCAGTTGACTTAGATACACCGTACTGTGTATTTTGATATTACTGTCTTCATCATACTAAATTTACACATAAAAAAATGTCTAAGGAGATCAGATATATTATACAAGTCCATCTCCAAACATCTATGACCAGAGATAAAAATATTATTTTAAAACAACAGAAAGTTGTTCTTACTCTTACCATGACTCCCAGGATGTGGATGGAAGAAGAAATGCAAGCCCACATTTTCAGATTACTCACATAATAGAAAACAAGCCAAAGAATACAGTAATACATATCAATACCCGTTGACAAGTCCCAAGGTTTGAAGAATACTTTTTAGCTGGAGAAAATTAAACTAGACCTTCTTGGTCATTCACATCCACTCTGCTAGCCCTTAAAATCTGAGACATATTGTGCAGTTTGCTCAGAAAGAATAAGAATAACAAGTTGGCAAAGAACAAAGTGAAGAAAAGTGGTCAGTGTGGCTGAGGCCAGTTTTACTATGTCAGGCAGTTAGTTTGCAACTATGTCATTGATGTAACAGTTCAGCTTTGCTCAATTCATCAAACCTCTTTTAAGGGCCATGTATCATAATGTGATTTTATGTGTGTGTGTGTGTGTGTGGTGTGTGTGTGTGTGTGTGTGTGTGTGTGTGTGTGTGTGTGTGTGTGTGTGTGTGTGTGTGTGTGTGTGTGTTTTATTTTCAGTTTGTTGATACTTTTACACAGTCGAATGTTACCATAAAACAGCAACATTAAAGAACGACATGTCTTTTACACAAATTAAATGAAAAGATACAATAAAACACGCTTGTTAAATACAAGCCGGTGGCGATTATTGAGATTTATTTCAAATACTTTCTTGCGTGTTTTTTTATTTTGAAAGTCTCAACAGGAAATCAAAGCAGCTCCCGGATGGCCCTTGACAGCGATGTGAGTCACATGGTGTTCTTAACGGAGAGCTGATGGAGCCAGATGAAAGAGGCAGGAGGCGAGCCCCTCCGCTTGCGCGTCAGCGTCCCCTCAAATAGAAATCCGCTGCTGTCACTTCAGCCCTGCGCGCATAGAGACTGACGGCTGCAAAACGATAATTAAAGGCTGATCCCGTCCGGGTATGCAACGTTTTCTTATTTTGTTGAATTATTATTTATTTTTTTGTTGTATTTCTTTATTTTTTTTTCAACGCGATGCCAGTGGAGGAGAGTAAAGGGAGGCTGTGAGGAGCGTTACGGAGAATGGTAGTGAGGATCAAGGCGCGCTGTCCCAGGAGAACTCATCCGAAGAGCCGCCCGTGAAAGCCCGGGATGCTCCTCTAACACCACCCGGGGCGGGTGAGTAGCCGACAGCGCATCTCTTAATATTATGAACACGAGAGTTGAAGCGTTCCTGTCTGTTTCCTCTAATCGCTCGACATTACTGTCAACTACATCGATTCCACCTGTCTGAGCAATCCTTAATATGCTTCTTTTTTATTATTATTATTCCTCTCTCTTTTTTTTAAGTGCACGCAATCGGGAGATCAACCGCGAGTAAAAGCGTAAGAAATAGTGCGCTCAGCCCGTGCGCACGCCGGTACCTCGCCGTGGTGCGCGCACACATCCTCGGGGCTGAACGCCATGCTGTGCGCTTCAGCGGGGGGACTGCGGGGTCCGTCGTGTCTCTTTAAAGTTTTGATTAGAGCGAACATGTGTTCCACACAGCGGCCTCAGTGGCCAATTAATACAGCCTTTGTAAGGGGGCTTCTCCTATCACAGACGCTCATCATTAATCCAATGGTGGCCCGGAGGGCGTGGGTTGGTGTCCGCGCTGATAAGAGGAAGCCACCAGTCGGTTCTCACACTTGGGTTGATTAATTATGGACTCTGGCCGTGATGCCCGCAGAAATGATGCACACATCTCAAAGAGTCATAGCCGTTCATGTTAAATTTTTACCATTCTATATGTGACATTGTGGGTTATCACCCCAAAATCTACCCAATACCAACACTGGGTTCAAATTTAGGTTGTCCTTCTGTCCTGATGCTGATCTGGGATGATTTTCTTCTCTTATTTTTGGTGAAAATCGTACAGTGCACACTGTTTTGCTAAATATGTAGGTGTAGGTGTGAGAAGAACTTTCATATGAGCCCCAGTGCATGCAGATGAATAAAAAATCCACTTACTATGCTGCGAGGGTCTCCGACTGCCGTGTAGATGTGTGTGTGTGTGTGTGTGTGTGTGTAGCTTGCCTCATTACACTCATTGTGTTGACTTAAGCAGTAGGGTCACCCCTGAGGCCCGTTCACCTGCCTTATTGAGGAGCGATGCCCAGAATTACACCACACACCGAGGTGGGAGAGGCTTTTCAGCTTACACGATCAAGTTCAGCACCGGTGCTCCAGACTGAAGCGCCATGTATTAATCTGATGTGCCGTAAATATTCTGGCTGAACTGGATTAGGCTGCTCCCCAATCCTCACAAATGTGTTTTGACGAGATGTGCTTAACTCTTTTATCTTGTCTTAAAAAAATTTAAAAAATACATAAAAAAATTGTGAAAGAGCTCCAGGTCCTGTTTGACTCCTGAGAAATTATGTTTTCAACCTGCCCACCCACACACTGCACTCGATTTCTCCACAAAGTGACAAAACTAAACCATCTTCACTTTACAGCTGCATATTTACAGATACTTTCTCATATTAAACATCAAGCAAAATCCAACTAAAAAGCCTGGGGGACGGGGAACTACTTTTGAAGATGGAGTCAGGCCTTCAGTTGAGGGTGATAGAACAGGTAGTTATATTTCATCAGGTATAGTACAAATGCTGATGCTCTCGAGGTGACGAGCCACAAGCGCTCCTTTCTCCTCGTCTTATTCAGCTTCCATCTTTATGTGCTTTACAATGTTTCATCCTCCAGAAATACTCTGTAGTTCATTTGTGCATTTTTGCTGTGGTTTGTTTTTCACAAACAAACCACTGTCTGCTGGGCTCCATGAGCAATGCCGTTTACTAGCTAACGACTAATACCGAGATTAAATAACACACAGGTCGACTCTATTTTCTAAGTAAGTGACTTCATGGGGTAATCGATTATATTTATATCATTTGGGGATATCAAAATAAAAATGGCTGAAAAAAAAAATGCATGCCACACTTTTCAAATGTTTTTTTTTTTTGTGGGTATTTTAATTAAATTTTTACAGAAGCTTGGAGTCAGACAAAAAAAAAAGCTTTTCGTGGACTGTGATAAACTATAAACTGAGTGATGACAGTTCAACCCGTTACAGTTGCTACATAAAACTCTTGTTGCTCTGCATGTGATGACCAAAATTGTATCATTTATTTTGCTAGATTTGTTTTGATTCGTCTGCATAAGACTTTAGAGTCAAACTTACAAAGGCATTGTTTTTCATCCCTGTCCCTTGCACTATTTAATGGCATCAACTATTCATCTCAAGGCACACAACTCCAGATCCTATGTCTGTTAAAAACAGACCGACATGCAAAGCCAACAGCTTCTGGACTCTTGGGACTCAGAGCAGGTGACCTGTCAGATGAGATCTACAAAAATGTTTTGAAAAACTGAAATTGATAATTCATTCACTATCTTCCTCTATCAGCCTTAAGCTGTTCAGGTTTGTGGGAAGCTGAAGCTTATCTCAGCAGACAATACATTGCAAGGTGAACGTAGGGATGTTGCTAAACATCAATTAAGAGTGACTAATTAGCGCAGCATGCTTGTTTAAAACTGCAGAAGGAGCCAGAGAAAAGCCAAGTAGATGCAGAGATAACACACAAACTCCACACAGAAAGGCTCCAGCTGCGAGCTGCGGCCACACATAAATCATGCTCTGTTAATGCTCCTTTCAAGGTTAAAGTGATAGTTCAGATATTTTGAAACATGGCTCTCTGGAGTAATTATCCACTTTGGCTCGCTTATTTGTTGGAGACATATGTCATGTTGCTCTGAGTTTGCTTGAAAATGATGCAAACCTGTTCATTTGTGTTGCATGTGAGGAACCCGCTGAGTGCAGGGGTCAAAGTTGAAACAAATAACATAAAATATATCTATCAAACTGCTCTTGATCAAACAGGAAGTAGCAATCAAGTGTGAAAATGAAGCTCCTTCCCATTACTGATTGTAAGACGACACTAACACATTTTCATAACATAACATAAATAAATCACAGCCATTATACACTACTGTTATTCTCATCTGCTCCATTGAACTATACTGGAGAAATCAAAGTTCACTGATTTCTCCTGCGTCACGTTCAGCAGAGCATGCTGCTTTGGATGTGAAGGCCACATAGCAACTATCCAAACAGACCACATTTCAACTGTTAGTAAAGCTATTTAAACTACTACAATATAACATTTTATCAGAGTGATACAATAATATACTAGCAAATATTAATTGTCTGCACTTGCGCTGTAAGCAGTTGCTAGGTTTATGTCATTGGAGGTTGACACACTCAACTGTATCAAGCTGGGAATTGTCAGTCTGCTTTTTGGGAGCCAAGAGTAAGAAAATCTTTTAAATTGGTCATCAAGCTGTAATTTGTGCAACTGAATCAAAGATCACTTGCTTCACTGTTGTGATTGTTTGCAGATTGTTTTTACAGGATCTATAATTGGTCAACTTCTGCAACTTTGAACTAAAGCACAGTTCAGAGGAGAAAATGTAAAAAAAGAAGCAAAACAACAAAAAAGTCATATTAGGCGTTAAATATGCTAATAGAACATTGTATCCCATGTATGTGAACATTTTGAGTTTGAGTTGCTATAAATAGCTAAAATAACTCAAAGCAGGGGCAACTTTCAAACTAAATGTTAGCCTTTCTTCTCTCTGAGGAGGCCTTCTCTTTCCTACTAACGCACAGATTTAATACTAGATTCCTGCACATTATCGCTTCAAAGCTTGAACACTAGTCTTTGAAGCAAATCAATCTCTTTTTCTGTTAAGACAGCTCAACTCAGTAGGATGGACTATTCTTGGTTGATGTTGACAAGGTTGATCTGAAAGTCTGTCAACTTTGCAGCAGTCTCTGTGTAAAACACTTGCAAAACTAAGTAAGGAAGTGTTTTGCGTTTTTCAAGCTTATGACTCTCATTAAGATAGTGATGGTAACAGCTTTGTTTTGGTTTGTTCTTCCTAGGTGGTCCACAGCCCTGAAATGTGAAATAACAAAGGATCTGGTTCATTGCTGTAACAGTTTTGAAAGATATTTATGTGTCAAGTTGTTCCTGAATGTGTCAAGATGAATGAACTTCTTTTAATGTAACTGTTTCTTGAAAGTCTGCTGACTTTCCCAAAAACGTGGTGAGCCAATCAGAAACTGAGAATGCACCTTTCCTTTCAAGGAAGCACTCCCCTACACTCCGATAATCCCCTCCCTGTGCACAATCATTCTTTTTCTCACATCAGTCTCATTTTTAATGCTGCCAAAACACTATTGCAGCCTTCTGCTCACACTTCTGTTGCATACAGATTGCCAGTTTCATTCACGCTTTTGTTATTCTTCTTTAAATAATATATCATCTCTGAATTGTCATCGGGTTGCCAAACAGAGAAGAGTAAAGTGCACATTGAGCACATTGAGGGTTTTGAAAATGTCAGCAATTGTCCGTGGCCTTTGGTTCTTTGTAAAAGGTGCAAAATCGTTATGTGAGCTTCGCAGATCACAAAGTAAATGGTCCATGAATCCTTGCTTGTGTACGTGTCAGCTGTCTGTTTGTGAACGTGTGATAGCGCAGAGACCACAGGGCGATGTAAATTGGCCAGTCAGCCGGACAGATGTGCCCTGGCCCGGGCTTGGGAGTACGGGGCTTCAAACTGGCCTGCCATCCAGAATTAGTGCCATGGATCTGTTAACACGGAGCTAAAGACTGCAAAGCTCAGTTTTGTTAAAATGCTCTCTGTTCTTTATTTTTGCGTACTAATCAACAAGAAAGAGGAAACATTGAAACATAAAAAATAAAGAATTATTCTTGTTTCTTCAACATGAGAAAATGTAAAAAAAAAAGCTGTTGCTTTGTTCTAATTGTTGGGTTCTGTGTCAGTTCACTATCTGTCTCGATCTGAGCTAAATACATTTCAGGCTCAGAGTGGCAATCGGTTGCCATAAAAGCAGTAGCGCTGTAATTCATAACTATTGATTGGTGTCTGAGCAGCGTTTCAGCAAAGCGACTCTGAACACAACTCCAAACAGAAGCAAGTGGAGTAAATAAAGCAAAGTGGTGGCGATGATTTGCATAGTTATGCCGTTATCTCCCCTGCCCCTTTTTTCTTAATTTAGAATGCACTCGTGGTGTGGGAACATAACATAATTCTTCCTCTGAACATTGCTG